TATGACATAGTAATGATAGCATAATAAGCAGCATCCAGTCCAACCTTCTCATTCTACAAATTGGAAGCTCCTCCAGCACTTGCTGTTCACTATGAATTTGACATCTGGTATATTCTACCACTGTTGATATAATTGTTTTTTCTTGTGTATATCTGTCTCCCCAACTTGAATATAAACTCCTCATGGGCAAGGATGAGGTCTTATATATGGTTATCTCCAGGGCAAACAAGGCTTAAGATACGTTTATTTATTATGACTATTCCATCGTCTGCTTCAGGTATTTCTTCAAAGACATAACACAATGCAGACAGAGCTAAAGCCCTACCCCAATCCCTGCCTGCTCACTCTCTCCTCAGAGGCAACCACAACCCTCATGTTCGAGTGAATCATTTCTGTGAATGCACAGAAACGTTAGTGTGAATGCACAGAAAATGCATCTTATGTGTAATTTATTGTTTCCTGAGTTCCAGTGCTTTATGTCAGTGGTCACTTCTTTATCCTTTTGCACCTTGAGTAATGTGGGGGACAGGTGTGAGAAGGCGGCTGCTGTTTCAGATCTATCATGTTCTCTAGTTGGACTCTAAGCTCCTTGAGGGCAGACAGCACATTCTGCAACTTGCCAACACCCCTCTTCCCAATTTAAATCACATGCTGACTCCAGGGACAATTCCTACTCATCCCTTAAGGATATGGCATTTCCTCCTATGGAGAATCCGTGGCTAGGAGCAATGTCAGCAGAAAACAGCATCCTAGGTGATTAAACATGCAAGATTTGGGGACAGATGGTGTACATCTTGGCTTTGCTTCTTACTAGCTGAGTGGCTGCAACAAAGTTAGTCAACTTCTCCTGCCTTGGTTTCTTTTCCCATAAAATGGAGGTATAATAATAGCCTCTGTGTGTGGGGTTGCTGGGACGACTAATATAATCAATATCGATGTTAATATACAATCAACTGATATTACATCAATTGATATCATCAATAAGTACAAGCACAGTGCTTTGAACAGTGCATTCTAAGCTTTAGGTAAGAAGTAGCTACTATTGTTTTAATGCCAAGCTAAGGATTTCTGCATTGCTGAATTTCATTAGTTTGGAAACATTCAAACTAATGAAGCATTCGGACTGTTTCATGCACTCCCAATGCAAGTTCAGGTCACCCTAAAACATCTGGACATGAAATGGGGCAGCCTCCCCCCAGCACTCATCCCTCACTGGAGGGTGGATAAGTGTGTCCCTGAAAACCAGGTGTCTCACCTGGCTGCTCCTTTCTCCTGCTCTAGGATTCCCCATCCCTGGGGAATTTCCACACTTTTCTTCCTGCTCACATCTCAGATGGCACCAAACAGCTTATATCCATATTTGAGGAAAGCAGCCATCAGGAATGTGGGGCCTTAATGTGCCCGTGGGGACTGGTTTCCCAGGGGCCTTCAGCTAAGCTCAGTAGTCAGAGTCTGGGTCCCCCACCTGCAGCCTCCTCTTCAAGATCACCTGCTTAGACCGGACCCCTCCCTGCCACCTGCTCACCATTGTTCTCCCCTTGCCTCCTCTAGCTGACCTTGATTCTCTCCAGATGTCTAGGGAAGAGGCGCTGTCATGCTTGATCTGGCCGGTCAGTTTCTCTATTTGCCAATCAGCTAACTGCTGGCTTTTTGTTTGTTTGTTTTGTTTTTGTTTGCTTTGTTGTTTGTTTGAGACTGGGTCTTGCTCTGTCACCCAGGCTGCAGTGCAGTGGTGCCATCTCACTGCAACCTCTGCTTCCCAGACTCAAGCAGCCCTCCCACTTCAACCTCCCCACCATACACATCGCCCTTCCCCCAGTAGCTGGGACCACAGGCATGCAGCACCATGCCTGGCTAATTTTTGTATTTTTGGTAGAGATGAGGTTTCACCATGTTGCCCAGGCTTAACTGCTGGCTTTGACAGGAGAACATGTGAATGAGATTTTTTTTTTAAGTCCTTTACATTTCCATTGCCATGTCATAGAAATAAAACACTGGAAAGGGGCTTTGACTGTGCCTGTGACATTGTGTTTCTTTTCTCTTAAGGTACATGAGATAAATCAAATTATAGCAATTACCTCTACTTTTTTAATTGTTTAAAACATGTGGCCGGGCGCGGTGGCTTATGCCTGTAATCCCAGCACTTTGGGAGGCCGAGGCGGGCGGATCACAAGGTCAGGAGATCAAGGCTATCCTGGCCAACACGGTGAAACCCCCGTCTCTACTAAAAATATATATATATAAAAATATTAGCCAGGTGTGTTGGTGGGCACCTGTAGTCCCAGCTACTCGGGAGGCTGAGGCAGGAGAATGGCATGAATCGGGAGGTGGAGCTTGCAACGGGCCGGGATCGCACCACTGCACTCCAGCCTGGGCAACA